AGTGTTTAAGCTAAAATTGTTCTTTGATTCACCCTTGGTAACACCAATTAATCCAGAAGAGGCACCTTTTCACTCCCTGCCTTGGTTCAGCTACTTTTGATGTCATGACTATTGTAGACTATAATTAATGGTGCAATTACAGGTTGTTGTTTTGATAATGACACCTCCAAATGAAATGCAGACATGTATTATTGTGTTTCAGAGCTGAAAGTAATGGAGCGTCCAGGAGAGAAGAGTGAATAGAATGGCAATTGCTGTAGCAGAAGGATTTTGGCTGTGGCCTATGCAGCACAGCTGCTGAATTTAGGAGGCAGCACATGCAGTGCTGCACATAAATGGGTGCCTGACTGAACTCTACCCTTGCTTTTATGTCAACAGGCTTCGTTACAGTTACACACTTGAGGCTCTAAGATCATCCATCCCTCTCATCCTCCTCTAAGTCCAATGCTCTCCTTTCTGTTTATGAAATAATATGGAAGAGTACAGACAGGGTTTGTCCTGTGTTGGTGTTTCGGGATTTGTCCCATTTTACAAGGTGGAAACTCAATTCTTGCTCCTATGTACTCGTGATCTAATGATGCTGGCTGCCTCTCATGAGTAGGCGCTTAAACCCAAAGGAGACAACTTGCTAATACAGGATCTTTGACATCTAAAGCTACACATCTGGAAACTTCAGCTGTTCCTCCTTCCCTATCAGCTGCATGGCTCATTGCACAGCTCTTCCCAAAAGCCATCGTGAATCCTTGGATTTTCATCCACACTCAACTACTGGTGCAAATCCAGGTTCCTCCAAGTGGCAGCAAGGTAGGTGCTTTCTTAGGTGAATACTTTTCTCTCCTTGGTGACAGCATCCTATCCATTTGCTAACCTGGTCGTAGTTTTCTGCCTCAACTTTCTGGTGTTTCCTTAGCTGCTTGGCCACAGATTTTGGCAACATCTGGTGTAAGAGGTCCTCAGCTAGCTGCCTCTCCCTTTTCAAATCCTCTGTCTTTTCCTTGAGGTTCCTGGCATAATTGTGTATCCAATCTGTCATTTGCTTGAAGGACACCAGGATTATGGGGTATATGAGGCAAGCTATCACTAACAGACTGATCTTCAGGCTCATTGTGGAGACTATTTCTTTAGATTTCCTGATGAGAATTTCCTGTCCCTTCTGCAGCAGGCAGCTCTGTGCATAATGCAGTCCCTTTACCAAGGTGGCAGTGGACACAAATTCATCTGAGCCTGGAAATGGGATGAAAAGAGGGATTTCTTCATAGTGGGGGAAATGAAGTGATAAATTGATGTTATCCATCCAGCACTGGCGTATGCTCTCTGATGAGAAGATAACATAGTTCAGAAGGGCAAAAAATTGATGCAGTTCCATTTGAAAGCTTGTAGCTGCTGGCATCAAAAGAGCTTTAAGCATGGCTTCTCTTATTTGAAGGATGAGTTTAAAAGCTACTATGTGTGCCCAGTCAGGATTGTCTCTCATAGCTTTGAGGTCTTGATGGGGACTACTGAAGTGCTCCAGCAGTTCAGAGATCACTCTGGACAGCACCTGTGTGGCATCAGTATCCCCTGTGCTATTTAATCTTTGTCTCACGTCAGGGATGTAGAACCCACAAATGGAGATTTTCTCCTTCTTGCATTGGCAATTCTCACAATGCAGTTCTGCTTCACTTGCCTTACAGAGGGAATTTACATTCCCCAAGAGCTGAGCATGAAATGATCCGTTCCTCTTGTCTGCTGCTGGGAACAGCCAGTTGTGCCTTTCTTCCTGCAGGAGATAGATGAGGCGAGCAGCCCAAAGGTTTTCACAGGAGGTGAGTTCCTGAAGGGCTTTCCCTGTGTTTCTCCATATTTCCAAGCTGTTGCTCACATCAAAAGAAATGGCTCCCAGGAGGCTGCAGAAGGAGACCACGCATGCTGTCAAAATCCTTTGAATTGTTTTTCTACCACCAGCATTGGAGGGGGGAGAACATCTACAAAAAGAGAGAGAATTCAGGAAAAGGAAGGAATTGGGGGTTTGATCCCTGTTTCTTCCTGAAAACATGGCTGGCACTAATAGCACTATTTACCAATTCATTACATTCTGAAACTAAGTACAGGGAATATGCAGTAGCTGAACGTTATTGCAAGACATATTTTATGATGCTTTCTTGAAAAGAAAAGCTGTGGTAAAGAGGCTGTTTCCATGATAGAGCCACAGGCACATTAACAAAATCAATCTGGTTTCCTATGATATTTAAATCATTTGCTGTAGGTTTTATTCTCTGTGGTATTTCTATCCAGATTTAGATAGAAGCACCCCAGAAAAGGTGGGTTACTTATCCCAGTGATCACAAACTGGAGCCGTTGGGGTTTTTTAATCAAACCTGTGGAAGTTGTTCTTAGTTGGAATTTCCAGCTGATGAATAATTTGTGTCAATACGTTCAAATGAGCTCAGACACTTCCAAAAGGTTGTCTAAGAAAAAGGAAAATGAATAAAATGCCAGTTTTCTTTCAGGTTTTACAGCAGACGCATGTCCAGTTTTTATTGTTGGAGCTTCATGATTGCAGTTTTCTATCCTTCTTTCATGCCGCACATAAACAACAGCCAGGCTCCATACAGCAAAGTAAAGATCTTCATTTTCAGAACTATTAATCAGTTACAGCCTCACATTTATAATACTCATGGAAACAACTTGGGAGGTTATGCTTAAGCTGGTGATCCTGAATAACCAGACAACCCTCATTTCCACTGATAAAGCACAAACCCGGGACTGGGTTGATGATCAACCCCTTCAGCTCCATCCTTCTTTTTCCTTTCCTCTTTTCCTCTGCATTGTAGAGGTGATTGTAAAAAAGCCCTCCTCAGATCCCCAGTTCTTTTAGAAACATGAAGTTCTATTTTAAATAAGATAAAGAAATCCACCTATATAAAGCCTGCTCTTTCTCAGCAGAGGCTGGTATTAGGCAAAACAAGTTTCTGCTGGGCTCTTCACAGCAGAATGGTGGTCAATGGGTGTAAAATAGATAAAAATACTGAAAGTGCAGTGCCTAAAGATGATAAAGAGCCACATTTTATTTATTTAATACAATATATATTTATCTGTATTTAATACAGTGTATGTTTGTCTGCATTTCTTTTCAATCTAAAGGTAACAAATGCAAAAGTCTCACTGAAAAGAACCGCAAGCCAGGAAAAATTTATCTCTGAACCCAGACACATTTCTGTTCTCACAACGAATTTCCAGTCTTTTCCTTGCTCTGCCTATTGCTTACCTTTGAGTCACTTGTGCTCCCTTTTTAATCAAGTCATTTTATCCTGAATCCACCTATATATGTGCCAGGAGGGAGAAGAAAACCACAACAGAAACCACCTTGATTTTTATACTGCCCACCTTCTGTGGCAATGAAAGAAATACAAATAGGGGGGTTTAACTTAATACTAGGCTAAAGGTGGTGATTCTGCTTGTGCTGTGCAAAGAATCCCCATTTGTGTCTGTGTGTCAGCCGATGGTGACAGTTCAGAGGTCTTCACCCACCATCTGAATGACTTAAAAAGGAGCAATGGGGATATGAAGGAGATGGGTCTGCAGAGATGATGATCTGCAGAGATGCCGATATGAAGGAGATGGGTCTGCAGAGATGCTGCCGCGCTCACTGCTGGGTTTTACCCTTCCCCTTGCTACGTCCCAAGACCACAGGGTGTTAAAATCAATCTGTAAAAGCATTTTGCAGCGTTTCCCCACTCACCTGCATGGACCAGCTTGCACCCGTGCTGTCTTCCCATGGGGCATCACCACTGCTTGATATGGTGAGTCCTGCTCAGCAGCTGCCTGCTGCCTTCAGCCCTGCCTCTGCCTTGCTTTGTCACCCCTACCCCCCGGGTGGCTCCTGTGGCTCTCTGACTCTTCCTGCTGCCCAGCCTCTTCTCAGCAGGCTCACATCTTCGCCCAGGTGAGGGTACCAAGCTCCAGCCTGAGGCAGGGGAAAGGCTGTAAAAGGTCTCTGGTGTTACCATTAAATACAGTCTCCAGTCTTAATACACAGGAAGAAGTGGCAGGGACACAGTTTTTCTTTCACCTTGTGAAAAATAATGTATATCACAGTATGATTTGGTATAATCTGTTGTTAAAAGTGTAATTTCCCAGTTGTTTCTGATCATAGGTGTCATCATTATGGCTTTATTCAAACTGTTTCCCTTCTTGGTATCTATCCTCCAGTTCTCTTTGGGTTCTATAAACATGTAGAACAAGTGAAAAATCAGATCATGAGCCCCGGGAATCTGTGAATGATGATCTGATGCAGGATTTAAATAGCTGAAATAATTCTTTACATTTTAAATGTTAAAATTTTAAATTTTAAATAATAAATAATAATTTTTAATTGTATTTTAATTCTTTAAATAAAAAAGTCAAATCTCAGTGATTTTTTAAAGTTTAAAGTATATATTTATATAAAATTTATAAAGTATGTATTTATACTTTATATAAAAGTATATATTTATAGTTTATATTAATATAAATTAATAAAATAAATGAATAAATAAATTATTATTTATACAGTTTATATTAAAAAATGATTGACTTGAGCAGGATGTGCTGCCTTCTAGGGTGCAGTTGCAACCTAGAAAACAGCACATCCTGCTCAAGTGTTATTGATGAATACAAGCTTCTAAATCTTCTAAATACAACTTCTTCTAAATACAACTTCCTGATCAAGTGTTATTGATGAATACAAGCTTCTAAAGTCACACCAGTAAAATCTTCATACAGCTGCAGTATAAATGGAGAATACATTCCTAAGCATTGTGACTTACTTGAAAGTGAAAATAGTGTGGGTAACTATTAAGAAGGGTACTTTATTTTTACAGCAGAGATTGTGCATGCACTGGTACCGGCTTGTCTGCAGAGGTTACTTGTACCTAAAGTAGGTTTGGCTCAAAAATAGGTGGCAAAAATGTCAAGGGGAGCCCCAGGAAGAGCACAGTATCTGTGTTCTCTAGCAGTGATACCTAGAACCTTCCCTGCAGGATCCAGCAGAGACCTGAGTGAAGACATAATGCTTGAGATAACACCTGCAGCCAAGAATAGAGCGATGCTGATGACACCATGCCCTTCACCTGCACCAGCACCTTGGCTGTAAAAAGGGCCACCAGAGACCACTGGGAGGGAGGTGAGACACAGCTAATGGCAGTCAGTGTGAATAGCTCCTCCTTGGGTGATATTTAGGCTTTCATTGCCATCAGGCCTCTTTGTGTCTAAAACCAAGCCCTAGGAGTGGTGTTCTCTGGACTCACCGTACACATGGAGGTGACTCCATCCCTGCCAGTGCAAACCATGATGGGTTTCACTGTGCCTCCCCAGCAGCTAGGCTTGGAGCAAGTGCATAAGCTACCACCAGCAAAAGGCCCTGCTGCAGGTCATCTGGAAGAGCTCCATTTGCTGTGAAGGAAGAGAAACAAAGGCATCATACTACCAGCTGTCACTGAAACCACCTCGACATGTTTCTCCCAGGATCTGGATACTGTCCCTCCTGGTAAGAAACTCCCTAGGGGCTGTACTAAAGAAGCTGTATGATCCATTCCTTAGGTCCATTCTTAATGGATGGCCTTAACTTAAGAAGGTCTCATTGTTAGAGAAATGAAGGGCTGCTCTTTGTTCAGGCGGTTGCAATTTACTTATTGCTCTGGGAATTGCCTCTTGAGCTGGGCTGACACTTCTGCTGAAGTCTCTGAGGTTTTCTTCACATTACATCTACTCCTTTATGTGTCTTTTGGGTTATTCAGCAGGGTATGTTAGGATAAGGAAAGTCACCAGACTGCACACTGTTAACATTTGTATTGCAATAGCTTCTAAAAGCTTAGTACAAGGCCCTCTAGTGCATTACTAGCCCCATTACAAGCAAAATAAACTCGAAGGCAGGGAAAAACCACACTGTTGAGTGAAGGGGCCTGATAAACTACCTCACTATGCTGAGATTGAGGGGATCTTGAGCAGCATCAAGAACCTTTTCCCAATCAATCTCAAAGGAAAAGGGAGTACGGAAAGCTTTTGTTCCACAGTTTTGCAAACGGCCAAGTACTTTACTCTGCTTTCTTCCCCATTAGCAGTGTTGGATGCCAGGGTGCTTTGAGCAGGAGGAGTCAGGCCAGCTTAATGTGGTCATTAGGGTCATGTGCTTGGTGAGTTTGTGCATGTGAGCACAGGTAGGACATTGCTTTGATCACTTCTGAAGAGCAGGGAAGAGAAGGGAAGGTGTAAAGAGGGTTGCAAATAGAGTAAGACACAGTAGCACTAATACTCAGGTCAAGTGCTGTATAACTGCTATTTGAAAGAGGTGCAAGGGAGCAAGGAGACACAAGCAGTAAAGGTTCCTCCACCCTCAAAGCAGTGGGAAATCCTTGGACTGGAAGGCTATTCCCTGCAGAACTGTCCACTTTCCTGCTGACAGCTTTCTGTATATTGCCTTTTATAGCCTCTTTTTCCACCTCTGGGACATGGGACTTAAAATGTAGTTAGTTTATCTCTGAGACAAGTGACTGATACCAGTGGAAAAAGTGTGTGATTATGGGTTAAATTTTTATATGCCCAAGTTGCTAAGCCCCCCCAAACAGCAGTTTAGATGGACCTTGGATCCAGGTGATACAAATAACTTGGTTAAAAAAACCCATCCAACAGGGTTGCATATTGCACGTAGCATCTGTTTGCTTTCCTATTGCCTTGAAAGTTCATAGGTGGTGTTTTCAGAGGGAAAATGTTAAATGGATTATTGTAACATCAGACACAGTGACTGTGTTTGATATATTCAGGCAGTGATAGATTGTGACATATCAGTGGGGTTGGATTAGAGGATCTCTGGAAGCCCCCTTTGAGCCTGACTTCTGGTATGATTCTATCTATGATCATGAACTTTTCTTCTGTTCTGGTTTGTTTTGTGACTGAATAGCACTTACCACTTTGCACTGAGTGAAAACCTAAATCTTCTTTTCTAGATGGAGTCGCCTTGTGTTTTAGCATGCCATATTTCTTCAATAAACCAAACTGTAACCACTTTGAAGTGGAAGATGTTTCGAGCAATACAAAGAACCAGCTGTCCATGATAATGGGGAAATGCTGCTGTAGCGGGTGAGCCACACTTCATTTCTTTCCTATGTACTTACGTTAGATCAATAGCACATCCCTGGAATAGGGCATTTTTACACCCCAAATCCACATGCTGACCTGTGGTATAATGCAGTGTGAGCTTGTTAATGAAAAAGGGCAAACCATCTTCACTAATAGGGCAAACCAGGCAAGAACAGGCATTTAAATCTCTACAGAGCTGCTGCCACAAAATAAAGCATCCTAATTCATTACTGGACATTTGAGATCAATTACTTGAGAGCAACACTTACTATTGTGTCTCTTTCTTCCTTTTTTATTTCCACTATGGATATTTTCCACTCTCTGTCATGTTTCCATCCACCTGCCCTTCACCTGAAAAACTGTTCCTATTTATAAACTAAACATCTCTATAGCATAAACCAAGTCACACATTCGAATGGAAGCAAATCTCACAATGCCAGTTTTGTAACCAGAGCTGCATTGTACATACAGACCAAACTAGAGGTTTTGAAGAAGCTGAAATTAATCTACTGTCTAATGTCAGTATTAATAAGCAGCAAACCCCCTGGTTTTCATAGCTGCCATTCCACAGTAGGTACTGATTTGGATGGAGGATGCCTGGAGCGCACATGTGGAGGACAGAAATATATAATGCCTTGCTGCTTTGTCTGCTTCTCAAGAACATATTATCCTACCCAAACAATAGCACTTGAGAAAGCTGCATTCTGAATTTCAAATGGAATCAGCCAAAGTCTGTTCTGGCATCTTGTAGTTATTATCTGACAAAAGCATAAATCAGGATGAGCTGAGTGCAGAACTGAGATTTTGAATTCTTTTTCTTCATGAATTAGTTGGCTTTCTTCTTAACGCTTGAATTTACGAACTAACCATAGCACACTTTTCAGTTTAACTTCCATGATCACTTCAAGTATCACCTAAAAATGAAGTATAAATTTTGGATGTTCAGTTACTATTTCAGCTTTCCTGTTTTATGGATGTGCTTGTAAACATGGAATTTTGTTTAGAAACATTTCCTTAATTTCACAAAGACAACCTTCTGCTCTCTTGTGCACTGTAAATACAGAAACCCTATTCTTTGGTTTTTCCCTTTTTCTTTGCAAAGGAAATCTGACAGTTATTATCTGGGGAATGCTCATAAGAATCATAATGTATTTAATGTAAAACACTCTGAAAGCTTTTTGCCTTTTTTGTTCCACTCCTGCTTTATGTAACAATTGCTTATCCATCTTTTCCAGATCTAAACAGGCTCAAGGATCTTTCTTGGACTCAGTGGACATCATACTGTTGGTAGTTCTGAGTGAACATCAAAAGCCTCAGCCTCCAGCTGATACCAGGGTGGCTTGGAAACTGCACCCTGAAGCTCTTATCATTTTCATGCCAGATGTTTCACAGAGACTAAGAAGCTCGTGGAACTTCAGTAAGAAAGAGCAGGAACTTCTGGTATGTTCTGTTAAAGCCTAATAGCTAATAACTCTTTCAATACACAGTGTACTTAGTGTACAATTTATAATGTAATCCATTGCCTCGTATCTTCAGTCTGTTCCCTTGTATGGAAGTAACTATGCTAAACCAACTAGTAAGTGGAATGGTCTGCAGGTAAGTAACAGACACTGAAATCTACTTTCCATCTGAAACTAGACAGCAACCTATTTACAAATTCAAAGTTAAATCCTGCTGTAGCTTTTCACTGGGAGCACCAGATGTGCCAAATCCATTCCTTGCTGGATGGACATTAAATCTGCTGCTTGATTGTTCCCTGGGTTCATTTCTGTGTTCCTTAAACTACAGGCTGGCCTGTGTGCCTCAAGATAGAACAAGGTTATATAGAGTCAGGGAAATGGAGATTAGCACCCCCCTGTGTCTTTCTGTCTTACTGTGCTTTCCCCATTGTCAGTCCCCACCCTAAATTCATTTATGTATTACTTTTCATACTGTATTTGCTTTTGATCCAAGCACTTTTGTCATCAGTACTGGCCCCAGATGTAACATAAGGCTCTGCTTGTTTTAACTGGGTGGGAGGAAGGGGAGAAGGGAACAGAGACTGGAAACAACAACAACAACACACCAACCAAAAAGAAAACCCAACCACAGTTCAGTGACCAGATTAGACTGACAGATCTTTATTTAGAAACAACAGCTTTGGTATTTTAAAACCAAAAGACCTTTAAATCAGTAGAAAGTGGGATGTGGTGTCCCCCCTCCCCACAGCCAAAACAAACCAATGCACAAAGCCTCAGTATGCTTAGAACAGGAAACCTGCAGATCAGGATTTCCAAGTGTAAAGCCAGAAAACAATTTCATTCAATTGGTTTTGCACTCTACAGTCAAAAAGACTGAAAAACCTGTTACCAGCACTTGGATATCTACGGTTCAGTTGACTGACTTGTTACTGAAGTGGATTTTATTAACATCCTCCCACCTCCCCAGCAATAAGTTAAGAAACGTATACCAGAAAGGAAGTTGCACTGAAGTTTTCTAGTTGTTAACTCTGTGAAGGGAATCACCATTCTTTATTTGCCTGTAAAATTAAGAAACAAATCAAAAGATCAAAGGACTCGGTGTCTCTTCAAGTATTTTCACCAAATGGATTTCTCTTGGGGAACGGAAAAAGCTTACAAGGAAAAAGAAACATCTGTTACACAAGCTTCTGGGATGAACTCTTGCATAACCACACCTTCCAAGTGTCAGGTTCCTCTCTTAACAAGGCACAAAGGGATTGTTGCTTTCAAAAGGTCTTGTTCTCAGCTGCAAAATTGCCAGGTGTCTGTGCAAATGGAGGCGGAAAGCAGGACTAAGTTCACTTGGACGCTGGGATGTTCCCATTCAATTAATGAAGAGGGTGTTATTTGAACACCCCATTCATCTTGCTTACTGCTGCAGAGAGCTGAGCTTCAGCTGAAGCCTTCCCCTTCACCCCTGCTTCTGGAATCAAGATCTACATCATCTTTGTTTTAAGAAGGTCCAGTTCAGATGAGGCAACAGCCGTGTCTGCTGTGCACTGCAAAGCAGTGTTGAGAAGGAAGAGGTGTTACATCAGCCCTGGTGTGTAGCTGAGAAGCTTCCCGGCATTTCAGAGAATAGTGTCAGGGACAGTTACCTGCAGTAATGGTTAACAAGTCACTTTGTAAAGGCAGAAGGCAAGTCTGTGTATGACAAAGGCAACCAGATAGACAGCAGTGAAAAAAAGACATCAATTCAAGGACACATTTTGGGATGCATGGCAGGGCACAGCTGAATACACAACAACTGGAATTACTTCCTGACCACTTCCTTCTCTTGCATTAAGGTTTTGATCATAATCACAGGCTTATAAATGCAGTTGTATTTGATATACATATCTACCCTACCTCTTCCTAGGTTTGTCTAGCCACAAGCCTCTTCCAGTCTTTCAATGGGTGATACGTATTCAGACATGCTTGGAGTCTGGCCTGATCTCCAGTGCTCAACATGACAAAGCCAGTTAGCTGAGAGGAAAACAGCCAGCTCACTTTAAAACACCCCTTTACGTACCGACGGTCAAGTTTAGTTCAGTACCTTCTGTCCAACTTTAGCCATCAAAATTGAATCTGCTCTTAGAATTTGGAAAAACCAGGGCAATCTAAAGCAAGACCTTTTCTCTGACAGCTCTAGTTAATTTTTTTTGAGCAGAATTCACCATCTATTGTCTAACCTGTGCTAAGTTTTCACTAGCAACTAAGTTTTCTAAGGCAACTCAAACCAAGAATTTCCAATCCTTTACACCAAAAGGAGATGCAGTCGAGCTTGAAGTCAGAACCTCACACTCACAGTAAAAAGCACTCAGTACTCTTCTTAACACAGCTACGTATTTCATCTAACGGGAAAAACGCACCTTCCCAAAATGATGGTGGTAGATGTGGTTTGATGGTGGACTTCACAGTGCCTGTGAATCTGTGAACATTTACCAGGAGTCCCAACAAGTGAGCACTTTCACCCAAGAACACCAGCTTGTGTCTGAGTATGACACTTCACACATTCAAACCAGGCAGAAAAGCCTGCACGTCTCCCACACAGTAGTAAGGACAAGTATAGCAGCTCTCTCACAAGCACTCCTGTACTGCATAACAAGAAACACCATCTCATGACACAGCTGCAACTGTTGGCCTAAAAACAAGCAATGTCCTACATTGATGTATGGAAAAAGGACAAAAAAAAGCTGTGTCTGTCTTGATCTGCAGCCTTACAAATGTTTAAGAAGGACAATGGAGATATCTTTTCTAATGTTTGTGAGCTCTAACGCTCTGATCCCTGCCCTAATCTTACTTCTTGCAATAAGAGGTCACAGATCACTTGTTGCAATAGAGACTGAAAATCCTCACAGTCCAAGACAGAACCTCCCTAGGCACAGCTGACACAAAATCAGGTGAACAACACTCAGTGGACAGCAGCCAAAAGCAGCAGCCTTATACCTTACTCCTGAAGAGTGGCTTGGCTCCTGGCCCGCAATATTCATTGTAGATGAGTTTGAACAGAAACAAGTGAAACAATGTGATTAAGGAGGCCACACTGAACCAGAAAAGGAAGGGTAAGCCTGGGTATTGCTTGGCCATGTGTTCCTCATGAGCCAGAATAGCTTTTAGATGGAGTGTGTGTCTCAGGTCCTGCAAGTGGATCAGATCTGTCGATATATAAAGCAGTGGTGTGATGGGTTGAGTCACCATGACGGGGAACGTGTGGCCTCGTGCCTCTGAGGTCAGCTCCACAGGCTCATTCATACAGCCTGCCTCACACGCATACAGTTTCACTGGCTTGTCCTGGAATTTCACAGACACGTGCAAGAAGGGCTTTCCTTCGGCATCCAACAGAACAGCTAGATTAATGAAGTCCTTATTGTAATGGATCCCACGTAAGGAATAGCTGTTATGAAGTACATCGGGGTCAGCCTGAAACTGAAGATGGTTTTCTGTGAACTGCAGACCCCCAAAACTAAGCACCATTCCCTGCATAAGTCCATGGACACCAGCTGCCACGAGACCCTTGCATCCTCGTTTCTGGAGAGTGAGCTTCCACAGGTCTGAGAGCTGCAAGACCTGGGTGATGCTGGTCAGCTTTGCTGGCCACAGGTTCTCTGCGTGCATGGTCGCATGGCCACTGAAGCAGTGGTCAGCATAGTTCAAGCTGGCTTCCATTTTCTCTCTGTCCTCACCACTGATGAGGGGATCCAGCAGAGGAGCTGGCATGCTCGACAGCACGTAGTAGAGGGTCATGTTAACAGTCTCACTGGATGGTGTATGCGCATCTGTGATCTTTCTCATTTCAACCCCTGTAATAAAAGAAAACAGCCACAAGTCAGAGGATCACACGAGTATGACATTAACTAGGAGAAAAAGAAAAATCAAACATGCACCTCACTCAACACACAGGGGTTCTTTATAATCATAGAATGGTTTGGGTTGGAAAGGACCTTAAGATCATCCAGTTCCAACCCCCCTGCCATGGGCAGGGACACCTCACACTAAACCATGGCACCCAAGGCTCTGTCCAGCCTGGTCTTGAACACCACCAGGGATGGAGCATTCACAGCTTCCCTGGGCAACCCATTCCAGTGCCTCACCACCCTAATAGGAAAGAACTTCCTCCTTATATCCAGTCTAAATGTTCCCTGTTTAAGTTTGAACCCGTTACCCTGTGTCCTATCACTACAGTCCCTAACAATAAAGAATGTCTAAGAAACCTTTGTCTATGAAACACTGAAGTTCACGTTTCCTTTTATTTTCCTAAGATGCTTTGGAGTTTGAAAGCCAAGCTCTCACTAAAGGCAAAGCCAGTTTGATAAACAGATGCCTTATGGACCTGTCACCATAACTCCGCAAGAACGACCTGTCAAAGGAACATCTATCTTTATACTAGCTAGCTATAAACCAGCAAGTCCTATGTTACTTGGGCAGCTATTTTGTTATGCAAGGCCACTATAATCTTAATAAAAAGCATCCTTGTAGGACACTCCTTAATTTCAATGAAGAAATCTGTCTTTTATACTGTCACTATTTCCAACCAGTAAAGTTCCTGAAGATGTGAAAGGCAGCACATCCAAGTTAGGATTAGAAATGTTCTTCTCTAACTTCCTTTTTGATGTAAGGAATGCTTTTTAAAAAGTATGGGTTCCAAATTAGGAGTGCTATTTTATTATCCCACAACATGCATCAAGAGAAACCTGTCAGGAAGAGCAGAGCTGCTGGAGACTGTACAGTAACCAGTCTCTGAGCTTCCAGCTGCCATCTAAAGCAATCTCTAAGGAAGTTAAACATCACTTTCCTTACCTGAAATGAACAGGTCAGACCAGGTCTGCTGGTGCTCCTGGAAAAGATCTTCCACCCCCATCTGCATCACCTCCAGCATCTCTTTCTTGGCCGAGTCCTTCAGCTTGCTGAAGGTCTCCTCCAGCCTGGAGACCTCGATGGGCTCTGAGGTGTACACCACCGAGAGCACGGTTTCATCAAAGTGGGATTTGGGCGCAACCTGCACCCGGCTCACGAGCTTCTTGGCAGCCACCACCATAAGCACCACCTTGGGGCTCCCGGGCAGCAGCAGGCGACCGGAAGAGAGCAGGAACTGCCGCTCCTCCGCCTTCTCCAGGCTGGTGGCGAAGCGGCTGCCCAGCGACGGGGCAGAAGCCGGGGCCGAGGCCTCGAAGGCAGCCACCCTCTCGGTGGGGTTGGCAATGCGGATGCGCTGCAGGTAGAGGTGCGGCCGGCTCCGGTGGGCCACCACCTCCTCCCGCACCGTCACGCAGTCCCCGGCGCCCGCCCCGGGCCCCGTCTGGACGCACCGCACCCGCCGCACGGCACCGTCCCGCAGCGCCGCCAGCGCCGCCCGCGCTTCTCCTCGCCCCCCCAGCGCCCTCAGCCGCACCAGCGCCGGATACTCGGTGGCGAGCACCGGGCCGCCGCCGGACCCCGCCGCCGACACCCAGAGGCGGCCGGCGGCCACGTCCAGCAGCAGGAAGCCGTTACCCGCCAGCGCCAGGCCCGGCCCCGGCCCGTCCTCCCCCACCGGCTCCTCCGGCAGCGGCAGCGCATCGCCGCGCTCGGCCTGCGCCCGCCAAGAGCCCGTGGCCGCCTGCAGGCAGAGAGCGGCGGCACCGTGGGGCTCGGCCCCCCGCCCTGCGCCCCGCCGCGCCCGCGCCGCGCCCAGGTACCAGTAGGCGACGAGCAGCAGCGCCAGGAGCAGCAGCAGCCGCCGCGCCCAGCTGCTGGAGAGCAGCCCCGGCAGCCCCTTCAGCCGCTGCTGCAGCCACATGGGCGGCGGCGGGGCGAAGCGGGGGCCCCGGCCCGCGGCCTCGGTGTTACCCCCGCGGCCACTCCCCGGCCCCGAACCCGCCGCGGCGCAGCGACCCTCACGCCGCCATCGCCGCCGCCCGGAAGCGCCGCGCCGTGCGGCAGATCCGCCGCGGTTTGCGGCGCTTTGCGACAGAGCCGTCGCACCGCCCCCTCAGAAGGCGCTTGGCAGAAGGCCGTGACCCGCCTCGACGCCGCGGAGCCGGGCCCCATCCCGTAGCTCCGCAGCCCTTCCCATGGCCCCGGGGCCTCTTGCATGGCTCCGAGCCCCCTCCCATGGTTCTGGGCCCACTGCCCGGCGCTGTCTGTAATTCCAGTGGCGATTTACTCCCGTGATCACAGCAGGGCCCGGTGTGGGAAGGCAAGTTGTATTGCATCAAACCTCATTGTGCTGCGCAGTAAACAGAAGTTGATGATGTGACTGGGATGTGCACAGCAAGCAGCGAGAAGCTTGGTACCTCAGTGCAGCTCTCAACAGACAGGAGCAGGCCATAGAGAAACACAGTGAGTTCCAATGAAGTGTGACATTCCTGACCAGAGCCAGTGAACCAGCTGAGCGCAGGGGCTCAGAGGAGGAACCTTCTGAACTAATTCCTGCAAATGAGCTGTTTGATGTGTGAGGGGGCACTGGAAGCTGTGAGCGTCTCTAAGAACACTGGGTCAGGCCCCATCCCTTGCACTGTTCAGAAGGGCTGGAGTTTCTTCAGAAGGTCTCGTGTGCTGTGAGGCTGCGTTCAAAGCCAAGCTCTGATCCTTTCCGGTTCTGAGGAAGTTGCTGCTTTGCCTGGAGCACGTGTTGCACGTACTCATTGGAACATCTGCACTGGCGGCTGCCTCTGCTTAAAAAGACAGGCAGCCAATTCCAGCTGGAGAGCACAAAGCAGTACAAACATAGAAACAGGGGAAGAAAATGGGCTTGCTGGCTTGGCATGGCTGCAGAACGCAAACAGCTGTCAGACAGGGATGGGCCGAGTGCAGCGGTATAAACAATGATGCATTCATGATTTTTGGTGTGCAAAACCCCCTTTCATTTTAGAATGGAAACATTTTACTTCATTAGAATGAGAAACTTGCCATTTTTACAATTCTAGATTGAGTTGCAGATGCCAGCCTGAGATTTGAGGGGCTGAACACTTTAGATGGGGCTCCTGCCTTAAAGTGTTGAGCAGGGGCTTTGTCTGGGCCTGCAAAGTGCTGGAGGAATCTTAATTAAATCTCTTTTTTTTTTTTTTAGGGAGAATGGCAGCTTTGCAAAAGGAAGTTTCCTGTATCATTGTCTTAGGGAGAACTGATATTTCCTTGAATTATTGCCTGTAGTTGGATCATGAGGACTATTCTGTTTGCCTGGTAATTATGAGGGAATTCCTGCTTTGGGCAAGGGAATGGAAACAAAAGTGCCTTGAATACACTCAATAATTTTCTCAGTGAACAAAACAGCAGTAATGGTATTACTATTACCAGGTAATAGTTAGCTCCGTGCATCTGCCACACCATCTCCCAACACAACTCCTTTTCCATGCCTCTGCTAAACTCCTCAGAGCTGCTCCTTTCACACCTTCCTGTTGTGGTATGTGCTGCATGGCCTGAGCTCAGGCATGGCTACAGACACAATAATGGCTTCAGTAGTACACCAGAGCATTGCTTTCCATCTACGTGATGTCTCACAGAACACTGACATTTGTACAGCCTCTGTTATTCTAGAGATCTTTGCAGACAAGCAAATATTGTTCACACCTTACAAGAGAGAACGTAAGTAATCTCTGAATGTTGCTTTCAGTAATGGAAGCAAAGTTTGGTTTAATTACACACAGTGCCTAACAAAATGGCACTGTTGCTTTCAGGTGTTTGCTCCAGTAGAAATAACATGTTGCTCAAGGCCTCAGGTGAGGTATGTGTCAGTGGTAGCTCTTCATCTGGTGTTCTGCAGATTCACTGACCCTAAAGTCATTTTTTGGGTGTTAATTTTATGATAGATTTATTTTGCCTGTTCTGAAAGTTAGCCAGAATAAACTAGAAAAAGATGCATGGCTAAGTTAGCAGGGCTAGAGCAAGAAAACCCAGCACAGGTAGTTGTAAGCCTTAAGGATGTCTGTATGGCCAGTTAGTATGGGAAAGACCAGGTTTTGTGTTTGCCAGGGAAGTACATGAGATGACAGCTGGCAAGAAAGTATTTAATCAGAGCTCCCAGATTCCACAGCTGCACATAACCCATTGAGCTGGTTTGCCTTTTTTCACAGTTGATCGTGTCAACCAGCTGCAGCTGGCCAGAAAGTGACCCCCTTCCTCCTACACAGGCTCCGTTTGCTTCATCACAGAATCATGCTAACAATGCTGCTTTCGTCCCCCGCAGACCCACCGCCGGTGCCCCCCGGCAGCAAGGCTGGACCCTGACCCAAGGTAAAGTTGCTGCAGCTCCGGGATCAACCCCCACGAACTTCGCGTCCCTGCAGAAGGAACCGTTCCCTCCGCACAAGCCCTGGAGCTCCTCTCTCGAGCCCGGCCCGGCCCCTGCCGCTTCCCCGCCTTTCCCGGGAGGAGGAGCCCCCGCCTCCCGCTTCCTCCGCCCGTCCCCGCCGGGCGGGTCTGGTGCGTGGCACAAGCTCAGCAGCCCCGGAGCTTTCTAGAGCTGCTTTCCGCCGGGTCGGTCCCGCAGGCAGCGCCTCCGGTCAGTACGGGCTCCTGGGCTGGAATCCAGGCGGGGATTTGGCTCCATGGAGTCTCCGGCGGTGCTGCTGCTTTGGATGGTGCTGGCGCTGCTTGGAGCAGGGGGCGGCGATGCCTCTCCGCAGGAAGGTAAGGGGGCGTCCGCGCCGGGGCCGAGGGTGGGGACCGGCAGCACCGGCCTCTGTGCCCCGGTCAAGCTCGGAGGCATTGCCTGAGAAGAGCGCCCGCCGCGGGTGAGAGCCCCTGAGTGGCATCTGGAGCTGCTGCCGAGTTCTGAGGCAGGGCACGGCGTGGGCGCCTTGTGCACATGCTTCTTAGCGCCTCAGTTCCTCACAGCTCCGAGTGGTGTGAGAGCAGCCTTGGACACCATCTCATCCCAGTAAAGTACTTGCAGTCCCCTGGGCTGCATCCCACTTTGGTCAGCCCTTCTGCTCTTGAACTTCCACAGTTCAAGAATTAGATAAACAGAGAGCATTTGATCCTGGTCTGGCCACACGGTGACCTGGGATCCAGGATGCTCCTAAAAGAACAGAGAAGTCTATCTCCATGTAAACAGTGGGTAGATGCTCTGAAGAGTAGCTAGGAGAGCAGTGGAGGATTAGGGCAGCTGCAGGATGTCAGCCAGGCTGACAAAGGTTCATGTGCTGTTGCTCTGCCAAAAAGTTTGGATCATTATCTGTCTTCATTAGAGAATTGACAATTAAAGGAGATTTCATATTGTTACTTAGAATATTTCCCTTCACAATATGTGATTCAGGTGTAGTTACCTTTATTATATATATTATCTAATAATAATACAGTTGATGTGTATCTGTGGGGTGTTGGAAGAGGAGTTCTTTAACTATAGTGGCTTAAGTAAAGCAAAACCATTTCAGTGTTTAGTATAGCTATTAAACAAATACAAGTAAGAAATTAATCTCTCCTATCCTGCTTTCCTCACACACCCCAAGTCTTCCATGGTTTTAGTGAGGCTTTAGAGGAAACTAGAGATAAAAACGTAAGTGCTGGGAAAAGAGCATGAGGTCTGTTGGATAGGAAGAGGGATTTGGAATAAACTGCTTTCTGGCATGGCTTAAAGAAGAAATGCCTTGCCTTTTCTGTACCTCAGCTTCCCCAGAGTAATGTGAGAATGATGATATTCTCTCTCGTATGTTCTTTTAGATCTTTACAAAAGCTCTGAGCATAACTGAATCTTAACTGACTCTTAAAAAAAAACCAACCTTCAGTAAATGCAAATTTAATACAGAGATTATATTGTCCACTACTAAATTATGCAGCATTTTTTCTACTTGATCCCTGTATTAATGGTATTTTCTTGGACTCTGTCTGAACAGGAAGTGGCACAGTTTCCCAAAGCACAGCCTAGGGATAAATTCATTCCTTGTCCTAAAATGCAGCTGTGATTTCCCTGTAGAGTCCGAGCAGGATTAAATAACTCTGAAATCTGCCATTACTGAGCTTATTTTGTCACAGATTCTCACTTACTATGAAACTCTGATACTGATATTGGAGTCCCTGTTCCAGTGCTTGGTCCCTACAGGATCCCTTTCATCTATAGTACTCAAAACCCCTCACAAAAGTGATAAATACCCTTTATTATCATTCTACAGATGGAAAAGATTATCATTCTACAGAGGGGTAGCAAGATTGACTTATCTTTGCATAGCAGAGCTAGCAGTACAGCCCAGCTCCCCTGCTTCCTAGTCCAATGTTTGCTTTGTTAACCACACCGTGTTCCTATTCTGCAGCCTTGCCAGTTATACGATTTCTAATTGTCAGCCCAAGGAGTCTCCGGGCCCAGGAGGCCCAGCTTAACAAAACCATTTCTACGACTGAAAAGTAACAGGAAGGCATAAAAGTGCTTTTGGAAGTTTTAAAACGCCTGCTTGTGATACTGTAACTAAAAGGCTTTACTGCTCTGGCTCTGAAATACCTATCAGCTGTACCAGTGTTCAGCAACATCTTTGAGAAAGAGAAAAAGGGGTTAAAGGAGAAGGAGTGGAGGCAGCATAGCTCAGCTTGAGCTTCTAGTACTGGACCGAAGGAATGTCTCTTGGGATGGAAAGCTGTAGCTACTGAAAAGATTTCTCAAAACAGAAACTGAGCTGAATATCTCTGGGAGTTCTTCCCCCACAGACCAGTAATGAAAAGGGAAGCTGTAACTTGGAATTCTGCTGAGGGGGATCATTGTCTCTGTGTTGGCTCTTCATGCTGCAGTGAGTTTACATGCTGCACACTAAAACTGTCTTCGAAACAGGACACCGCTTCCTGTTCATCCGAGTGAGCCTTTAGCTCTCACCTCTCCTCCCACAGACTTCTGGCACTCATATCGTAAACAGTTGTTTGCTTACTTGGAGTGGT